TGATCTAAATAATAATTTATTTAAAAAATTTTGCTGAATCATAAATCAAGATTCCTGAAAGAATCGATATTCTACTCTCTAAATCTGAATTAGTAAAAATGTTTACTAATTTGAATTAGTGACTCACTTTTTGCTTCTGAATTAGTAAAATTTTACTAATTATTAGTAACTTTTACTAAAATGTTTACTAATTTAAATTAGTGACTCACTTTTTTCTTCTGAATTAGTAAAATTTTACTAATTTGAATTAGTGACTCACTTTTTTCTTCTGAATTAGTAAAATTTTACTAATTATTAGTAACTTTTACTAAAATGTTTACTAATTTAAATTAGTGACTCACTTTTTTCTTCTGAATTAGTAAAATTTTACTAATTTGAATTAGTGACTCACTTTTTTCTTCTGAATTAGTAAAATTTTACTAATTATTAGTAACTTTTACTAAAATGTTTACTAATTTAAATTAGTGACTCACTTTTTTCTTCTGAATTAGTAAAATTTTACTAATTTGAATTAGTGACTCACTTTTTTCTTCTGAATTAGTAAAATTTTACTAATTATTAGTAACTTTTACTAAAATGTTTACTAATTTGAATTAGTGACTCACTTTTTGCTTCTGAATTAGTTAAATTTTACTAATTGTTAGTAAAAGTTACTAATAATTAGTAAAAGTTACTAATAATTAGTAAAATTTTACTAATTTTAATTAATTTTAATTTTACTAATTGTTAGTAACAGTTACTAATAATTAGTAAAATTTTACTAATTTTAATTAATTTTAATTTTACTAATTGTTAGTAAAAGTTACTAATAATTAGTAAAATTGTACTAATTCAGAAGCAAAAAGTGAGTCACTAATTCAAATTAGTAAACATTTTTACTAATTCAGATTTAGAGAATATATTTTTATTTTCTTTTTTTTTTAAATTTTGATTCATGAGAGAGAAGGAGAGATCAGGGGTAAGTTGGAGCAAAGGTTTGTTCGTTCATTCACCAAACTGGCAATACTCCAATCAGCTGACGAGGGAGATCTATTTTTTTTTTCTCTCTCTCTCTCTCTCTCTGCCCCGACACGGATCGTTCCTTTTCGACGAGGACGCCTACTGCATATATCGTTCTTGCAAAGTCGTCTATTCTGGCATGACTCGCGAACGCGTTACGAAATTGCAAATGACTTTGGTCCGTTCTACGAATAAGGTGTAGTGAAAAAAAAAAAAAAAAAAAAAAATTTCCTAGCTTTGTACTTCAAAGTACCATGGGGGCTTTTCAAAAATTTATTTTCAAAATAATTTTTGTTTTTTCTCATTTCAAAAACAAAATTATTTTACCAATAATATTGAATAATAATAATAATAATAATAATAATAATAATAATAATAAAAATAATAATAATAATAATAAATAATTTATATATTTAATTAAATAAATATAAAAATAATTTTTTTCAAATTTCAATAACAAAATTATTTTTCGAATTTTTTTTCATTTCAAAAACAATTTTTCAAAATAATTTCTTTTAAAATTGAAACAAAAATTATTTTTTCTATTTATGTAAAAAAATCTTTTTTTTATATTTTTAACCAATTAATGGAAATTAAAAATAAATATTTAGGAATAATTTTTAAAGTTTTGAAGTACAATAAATAATTTTGCATTTCTAGGTAAATGTTTCATTATTTTCACGATATGAGAAAAATAATAATAGTTCAAAGTCAGAATATTGGATGCTATATATATATATATGGTTTGAGGGATTTTCGAAGAGAGACAATGTTTTATCCTGAAAATTGCAGCTAGGTATTTTGCCTCGAAGAGAGATAGAGAGAGTGAGAGAGAGAGAGGGATAGACGAGGAGACGCAGAGATTGAGAGAAAGAAACCGCGATCGAAGATGCACGCGCTTGCGCATTTGGCCCCGGCAACCGACAATCAAATATTAACATCCGCTTAATACCCGGCGGCTAATATAAATCAATGGAAAACCGTGGGTTGCCAAATAGACTGAGAGACCAATCTAGGAATTCAAATGAGGGTGAAGATTGATTAGATCATTGTTTAATTAAAGATCCATCTATTTCTAATAACTATATTAATATATATTTTTCATTTCCTAACCCCCCCAAAAAAATGGGTTTTTTTTTTTAAAAAAATCATAATATTATAATAGAAAAAGAAAGATTCATTCTTTTATATTTGTCACGTCACGTATTTTTAAATAGATAAATTTATTTATAAATAAATAATATTTTTATAATATTAATAATATTTTATATTATTATTATTAATAATATAATAATATTATTATTATATTATTATTATTATTAATAATATAATAGTATTATTATTATTATATTATTATTATTAATAATATAATAATATTATTATTATTTATTTTCAACTGATTGAATCAAAATATTTTTAAATTTAATATTATAATTAATAAAATAAAATCAGTTAACAATTTTTAAATTGAAAATAAGAAAAAAAATGTGAAAAATATTTGAAAAAATTGAGAGAAATTGACATATATATATATATATATATAATAATAAACATTGTCAAAGTGAAAATATTGATCATGAACAATAGGCTTATATATAGAGGACTTCTAGTTGGATTATGATGGCGAATTGATACTTAAAGAATTATACATGACGTCAATGATAGCTTAGTTATAGAACGGGACAGATCATCGCTCACGTTTTCCGCGAGAAGGAAGCCGAAGAGAAAACGGAACAAACCAACATGAAACTTTCAAGTAACGGTGCTCCTTTACAAGAAGGTTAAAGGCCATTGCGCATGAGAGGTGCACATCGCGCGCGCTCTTTTCACGACAAACCTGTCGTCAACTGCAATTTTTTTTTTTTTTTTTTTTTTGCTTTTTTTCTAATCAAGAGATTTATTATTATTATTCCCCGTTTCGTTACAAAAAAAATTTATACGCTTTTATTTTTTAATTTCATACTGAAAATAAAAATTTCTTTGATTCAAATATAATAAGTTACTTGACTATTATAAAATAAATAAATATTTATTATTTAAGTTAATTCAATGAAGTGTGGTTACAGAAATTATTGATCCAAATAATTTTTTTTAATTCAAATAAATATTATTTGGTCCAAATAGTCTATTTATTAATTCAAATAAAAAATTATTTGGTTCAAATACAGTTTATTTAATTCAAATAAAATTTGGTCCAAGTAAATATTTATTTGATACACTGAAAAAAAAAATTTTTTGATTCAATTACTCGATTACTTGATTATTATCAAATAAATATTTATTTGTAACAAATAATTATTATTTCAGTCAATTAAATGGTATTTCTTTTAAATACAGAAATTATTTGGTTCTAATAAAATTTATTTAATTCAAATAAAAATTTATTTGGTCCAAGTAAATATTTATTCGATACACTGAAAAAAAATTTATTTGATTCAAATACTCGATTACTTCACTATTATCAAATAAATATTTATTTGTATCAAATAATTATTGTTTGAGTTAATTAAATGATATTTTGTTTCAAATAAGAAATTATTTGGTTCTAATAAAATTTATTTAATTCAAATAAAAAATTTATTTGGTTCAAGTAAATATTTATTTGATAATAGTCAAGTAAGCGATTATTTGAATCAAATACAAAAATTATTTGATTCAAATACAGTTTATTTAATTCAAATAAAATTTGGTCCAAGTAAATATTTATTTGATGCACTGAGAAAAAAAAATTATTTGATTCAATTACTCGATTACTTGATTATTATCAAATAAATATTTATTTGTATCAAATAATTATTATTTCAGTCAATTAAATGGTATTTGGTTTAAATACAATTTATTTAATTTAAATAAAAATTATATGGTTCAAATAAATATTTATTCGGTTCAAATAAATAATTATTTGATAATAGTCAAGTAAGCGATTATTTGAATAAAATATAAAAAATTATTTGATTCAAATAAAATTTATTTAATTTAAATAAAAATTATTTGGTTCAAATAAATATTTCTATGATAATAGTCAACTAACAGATTATTAGAATAAAATAAATTTTTTCTTTCAGTTCCCCGAAATTTTATTCGAAATCGTTAATGGTATATATAATTTTCACAATATATCTATATAGAAATATATTTATGTTAATAATTCGAAGGTAATGTGTTGAAAGCATTATTAATTCACGATATATACCTACAAACACTATAATAATTAATAATCCTGTACACAAAACTAAATAATGCAATAATTATCTAAAATTTCCATTCAATTAATAACAATCAGTGATTTGTAACTATTTTCCTATATAATAAAATAAATAACTGTACCGTTGCTTGTATAATAACCATTGTAAATAAAAAAAAAAATAAAAAAGAAAAGTAGAAAAAAAATGAAATAAAATTATTCCCTTAAGCAAAATTAAAAAAAAATTATTTAAAAAAAAAAAAAAATTATTTTTAATTATCCAAAAAAACGTCAGCTATTCGCTAAACGAATAAAATTGCCGTATATGTAATTATAATGGCAATATACGGGTGTGTACAGTCAGTTGATCGTGATTAATTTTCACTCAGTCGATTATATATCGAAACAAAATGAATGTAATCTACGCAGATTAGCGGGGAAAAATTGAAATATTGATGAGGTCTCTGACGCTTTTACATTATGCGAAACTTCTATATTTATATTTCTGCATAATATAAATTTCTTTTTTTAATTATTTAAATAGTCCCCAAGACTTGCAAATAATATATTATTAATTATTTAATATTTAACACAATTTAATTTTTTAGACCTTTTTTCCCTTTGGCAAAAAAAACCAACAGAGAGAATTTTAATTTTAACCTTGTTGAAAATAAATCTGCTTTTGCGTTCTTTTTTCATATTAAAATAAAAAAAAAATCGATAATTTCATTTTTCCATTGTATTGAGAGAGTCTCTCTCTCTCTCACGACAGGAAAGAAAGTGCACTTAGAAAAGAGAATACAATTAGTGTACTCACCAGCGACCATTTAGGAACCACACCGGAAGTCTGAAACAGAATAATAAATTCACTATGTTAGTACAAACAGAAAAGTAACACACAAAAAAAAGAGTTTTCAATTTATAAAGGGTTTCAAAAACACGGTCGTCGCTTTTTTTTTTGGAAAAAAAGGAAATTGTACCTTTTCACTATATAACTCTTTGGAAATTTCAACGTCAAAAGAAGAGACCTGCCTTAAAATTTACGAAGATGTTTAATAAAGAATTCATTCGTGTCCAACTCGGGAGAAAAACTCCAGTTTTTTTTTTTTTTTTTTTTTATTTTTAGTGAAAAAAAAAAAATGTGTTATTTTCTCTCTCTCTGAAAATATCTCTCCCTCACGGAGTAACGATTTTTTATGACAGCCGCGACCTTGTCACGTCGAGAGATTATTGGACAATTCTGACAGCTGTCGCAAGCACGATCACCAACAAAAATTGCGCAGGATATGCGAATCAAGAGAAATTACAAATTTTTTTTTTTTTTCATTTTGCAAATGACAATATTCAAAAGTAACGAAAAAAAAAAATTGATTGTCATTTCTAGAAACAAAAAAAAAAGTTTTTTTTTTCTATAAGGAATTTTTTATGAATATATAAATTTTTATATTTTTATTTTATAATAATTATATTTCCATAAAATGAATTTTTATATTTTACATAATTATTACATAATAGCGTATAGAGAGAAAAAAATCTTTATTTGGAATAGCGATATATTTCACTGAAACAGCGATATGTTGCACTAAAACAGTGAAAGTTTTCGCTATTCTAGAGAAATATATCACTGTTCCAGATGAAGATTGTTTTCCGTTGCTATGGAAACAAAATATATATATATATTATTTCCATAGCAACCGTTTCCATAGTAACCGTCTCCATAGTAACCGTCTTCATAGCAACCGTCTCCATAGTAACAGTTTCCATAGTAACCGTTTCCATAGCAACAGTTTCCATAGCAACAGTTTCCATAGTAACCGTTTCCATAGCAACAGCCTTCATAGCAACCGTTTCCATAGCAACCGCCTTCATAGCAACCGTTTCTATAGTAACAGTTTCCATAGTAACCGCTTCCATAGCAACCGTTTCCGTAGTAACCGTTTCCATTGCAACAGCCTTCATAGCAACCGTTTCCATAGTAACAGTTTCCATAGTAACCGTTTCCATAGCAACCGTTTCTATAGTAACAGTTTCCATAGCAACCGTCTCTATAGTAACAGTTTCCATAGTAACCGTTTCCATAGCAACAGCCTTCATAGCAACCGCCTTCATAGCAACCGTTTCCATAGCAACAGTCTTTATAGCAACCGTTTCCATAGTAACCGCTTCCATAGCAACCGTTTCCGTAGTAACCGTTTCCATAGCAACCGCCTTCATAGCAACCGTTTCTATAGTAACAGTTTCCATACTAACCGTTTCCATAGCAACAGTTTCCATAGGAACAGTTTCCATAGCAACAGTTTCCATAGGAACAGTTTCCATAGCAACCGTCTCTATAGTAACAGTTTCCATAGTAACCGTTTCCATAGCAACAGTTTCCATAGTAACCGTTTCCATAGCAACAGCCTTCATAGCAACCGTTTCCATAGTAACCGCTTTCATAGCAACCGTTTCCGTAGTAACCGTTTCCATAGCAACCGCCTTCACAGCAACCGTTTCCATAGTAACCGCCTTCATAGCAACCGTCTCCAGAGTAACCGTTTCCATGAACGTTTTTACCTTAGCAACCGTTGCTAAGGATTTCTTTTCCTTGGCAACGGTTGCTGTGGATTTTTTTCCTTAGCAACGGTAATATTAATATTGTCCACGAAACCCTGCGATGGAGGCGCCATGCTTCTCTCATATTTATTTTTTTTTATAATAAATAGTCAATTTCAAAAATTTAAATATTGTCATTAAAAAAGACAATATTTTACTTATTTTATAATAGAGAAAAATTTGTTTTTCAAAAAGAATGTTTTTAATTCCGATCAATATTTATATATAGTAATAAAACGAGAAATTGCCCAGTGTGTGAAATTAAAGAAGATTGTAATAAAAATGTACTATATAGCAAGTGAGAGCGGGGATTTTGAGGACTAAAAGTAAAAGGAATTTCCGATAATGGGTTCAGGAGCAACAAAACAGGATGGTGGAAATTTTTTACATAGTTGATGAAAAATTGCTATCCTGCCTTTGATCGTAGCAGTGCATCGCGTATTGATCGTGGCACAACCTCATGGACGTATATACCTACATATATATATATACATATACACAAAGGGATTCTTTGTCGAAGCCGACGCAAAAACGATTCAGCAAACCTCTTCTTCATTTATGGTGTGAGTGCAATGCGTGAGAATATATATATATATGTATATATATATATATATATATATATATAAAATATGTAAGATCGTACATGTAGAAAAGTTTTTGCAAAAAGCGTCAAGAAACGTGTATATACTCCACATAATATGCCTATATTCAGAAAACTGGTTGTCCATTCATAAGTTTCGTTCAGGTTCACCGACATTTTATATATCGTCAACGTTTCCTGATCATCGAGAAACTTGGACATTATTTTCTTTTAATCAGAAATTTTTCACATCGGGAATTTGTTTTTTTCTCCACCAAGGAGAAATCAAGTTGTAGATTAGAAATTCCTTTTTTTTTTAGAAATCGGATGGACAGTCCAAAACAAAAATTTTTGTATAAAAAAAAAAATTTGTTTCTTTTCTATACTGGAAAAAAATTATTTGATTCAAAGAATCGGTTATTTGGCTATTATTAAATAAAAATATTTAATATTAAATAATTATCATTATTTGAATCAAATAATTTTTTTTTAGTGTATACAAAGAAACACGAACATTTTTCATCTGCTATACACAAAACGCATGCGCAGATCATGTCCGCCATTGTATCCCTCACCTGAGTTGCAACGGTTTTGCCGCACGAGCGCTAGTATCGCTAACTAAAAACGACTGAAACTATTTTTTCTATTTGTAGAATTAAATACCATTTTCATAGTGGATTTTTTTCCACAAAATATATATTAAAAAGAAAGTTTGGTCTTGCAGAAAAATAATATAATTGTTATTTAAATCGCAATGAAAAATTTTTCCCAATTAAGTATACATATAAATTAATGTATCGTCATTTATATTCTCAGCGAATATTCCAGAAAGATGCTCTTTAAGTTATTAATTCAAAAGAGAAAAGAAATGTTTGTACCCATTAGCGTTATAAATTTTTTGTAAACAAAAAAAAAAAAAGAAAAAAAAAATGTTTCCGAGACTCAAGTTGCTTTTCTTTTCTAATTAATACCAGGCTTTGTGTAATCATCCTGCTAAACTTCCTTCTCCTTCATGAAAAACTTTTCTTTATACACTTTAGAGAATCATAATCATCGGCTTAGAACTTGTTCAGGACTTTTAACGTATTTTTTTTTTTTTATTTTCCTATATTTTTTTTACCCAAAGCAAACGAAAGAGAGAAAGGGGGAAAAAAAAGAGAGAGGACACTAGTGTAAAAGGAAAATCCTGGCAAGTCTTTGCAAATCGTTTTCTGTTTATTATGGAGCAACCTATATAGCGTAAAAGGGTACCCTTTTTTTTTTTTTAGAGGACCCTACAGGATAGGTGATTTTCCAGAACCACGGACACGGGTAACCGCTTGCTTGATCCCATGGGAATGGGATCCACATTTTCCATGTGTGTATGTATGTATGTGTGTATCTCGTTTTCCAGATTTTCTCTGGGATAAACTCACTATCCGAGTCTCAACATTTCCTTCGTGCTGAATTTCATTCGCTTATTTCGTTATGTATATACTGTATTAAACGAATATGCAAATGTTTAACTATTTAAGTACATCTAGAAAAAAAAGAGAGAGAGAGAGAGAAAAAAAACAAATGTGCAGAATTATCATATGTGGACTTTACGTGTCTTTTTTTAAAATCATTTAACACTAAATTTATTCTCTCACACATTGTCCACATTCTTTTTTTCGTTTATAAATTTTTCTAATTAATTTTTTCTAATTAATATTTAATTTTTTCTAATTAATTTTTTCTAATTAATATTTAATTTTTTCTAATTAATTTTTTCTAATTAATATTTAATTTTTTCTAATTAATATATTAATAAAAGTTTCAGAAACATTTGGCATTTATTTTTATACGATTAATTTCATTAGAAAAAAAATTCCATATATTTTTCTTTTGCCCACCAATATAATTTTATAAATCCTTTTTTTTCGAAAATTGGAAGAGAGAAAAATTCGTTGCAAAAACAATTTTCAATCTCTGCGTTATATAGGAATTTTCACAGAAATATATATATATACAACAGTAAGCGAGTATAAGGTAAATTTTTATGGTATAATCTAGGTTTTTGGTGAGGATTTATGGAACGGAATTTGGCTGGCGGACCAGAGTAGTTGACGTTGGCTGATTATTCATTATTCAACCCCTTCGTCCCATGACGTGTGATATATGACCTTCCTATACACACAGTAAATTTTTCGAGGGGTTGTCTTTCCCTCGACACTCAAATCGAAAAAAAAAAAAAAAAAAAAGTTTTTTCCAACCAAAAAAAAAAAAAGAAAAATAAATACAACAACAACATTGACTGATGAATCGTGGAATGTTTTTTTTTTTTCCAAAGAAATGTTTTATCAATATTTCACGTGTGATTAAAACTTATCGACAAACCGCCACTGATAGTCATTTAGGTGGAACGAAATTGTTGGTGTCAGAAAACGTTCCGGCAAATTGTTTTACACACACCAAGTTTTAATTAAAAAAAAAAAAATCGAAAAATTATTTTTTACTTCCTAAAAAAGAAATTTAAAATGAGAACAAATTTCTGAAAAATAGAAAAAAGTATAAAGTTTCGAGAGCTCAGGACAAAATTATGTTCTCATTCTAAAACTCAAGTGAGTCAAATTGAATGAACTCTCTTCTGCAGTAAAATAAAAGAGATTATAAACTTCTATTGTTCGGGAACAAAAAAGGATTATGCGAGG